GATGGCCGAAAGTCTAAGTCAATTTCGGCCGAAACCGAAGAAAAACCGAAAGTTAACTTTTCTCTTTCGGCCGAAACCGAAATTAAGCCGAAAGTTAACTTTTCAGTTTCGGCCGAAACCGAAACTTGGCCGAAAGTGATAAAATGGCCACTTTCGGCGCCGAAACCGAAATTCGGTCGGTCTCTAATATTATCACACCATACATTACATTTAATGGGTTATATTTCATGGAAAATAACACATTCATAATCCTTAATAACTATCTGGCGCACACCAACAATACCCGGTACATAAATTGAAGTTTTATAATTATTTTTTCAATGTCTAATTGTTTAGGATAGGCCAGACAACATATGGCCCGCTTGCAGCCCACCAGCACCCACTTTGCGGCCCGCGAAGTGACAAAATATTCATTATTCTTATTATTTTCTTTATAGCTTTCCCCCTCTTATTTTTTTCAGCCCTCACAAGTCCTGTCCTATTTTCTTTTGGCCTGCACAAGTCCTGTCCTATTTTCTTTTGGCCTGCACAAGTCCTGTCCTATTTTCTTTTGGCCTGCACAAGTCCTGTCCTATTTTCTTTTGGCCTGCACAAGTCCTGTCCTATTTTCTTTTGGCCTGCACAAGTCCTGTCCTATTTTCTTTTGGCCTGCACAAGTCCTGTCCTATTTTCTTTTGGCCTGCACAAGTCCTGTCCTATTTTCTTTTGGCCTGCACAAGTCCTGTCCTATTTTCTTTTGGCCTGCACAAGTCCTACTTGGGATTGAGAGGGTTCTACTGTCAATGGAAGAACGTAGTTGTCTTGTGGGGATGTAAGGAAGCAACAGTTCAGAGAGATAGACAGGAAAGTGAGGGTCAGTGAACGAGTTGAAGCAAAGATTGGAAGACTTGTATTTGATGCGAGAGGATATTGGAAGCCAGTGTTCATAGTGTCCTCTTTCTTGTGTTTCATCATAGTAGAGAATTAATTTAAAAAGCTATAGTCCTCAAGACCTGATTGTTTTATTGTGAATTCATTTATACTGTAAGCTACGTCATCCACTCGGCTACATAAAGATCACTTAGTTTGTTTTTAAAGATCGTTTAGTTTATTGTTAAAGATCGTTTAGTTTGTTGTTAAAGATCATTTAGTTTATTGTTAAAGATCGTTTAGTTTATTGTTAAAGATCATTTAGTTTGTTGTTAAAGATCGTTTAGTTTGTTGTTAAAGATCGTTTAGTTTGTTGTTAAAGATCGTTTAGTTTATTGTTAAAGATCGTTTAGTTTGTTGTTAAAGATCGTTTAGTTTGTTGTTAAAGATCGTTTAGTTTGTTGTTAAAGATCGCTTTGTTATTAAATATCACTTAGTTTGTTGTTAAAGATCATTTAGTTTATTGTTAAAGATCGTTTAGTTTGTTGTTAAAGATCGCTTAATTTGTTGTCAAAGATTGGTTAGTTTGTTCTTAAAGATCGCTTAGTTTGTTCTTAAAGATTCTCAAGTTTTTGTTAATGATAGTTTCATTTGTTGTTAAAGATCGTTTAGTTTGTTCATAAAGATCGCCTTGTTTGTTGTTAAAGATTGATTAGTTTGTTCATAAAGATAGCCTGGTTTGTTGTTAAAGATCGCTTAGTTTGTTCTTAAAGATGTCCAGTTTTGTTAATGATCGTTTCATTTGTTCTTAAAGATCGCTTAGTTTGTTTTTGTAAAGATCGTTTAGTTTGTTGTTAAAGATCGTTTAGTTTGTTGTTAAAGATCGTTTAGTTTGTTTTTGTAAAGATCGTTTAGTTTGTTGTTGTAAAGATCGTTTAG